CTCGAGTTCTTCAATCACAACGGCCTTGGCTTCATTGTAAAGTTCTTTCAATGGTTTGCCATCAACAACACCGGTAATGAAAGGATGCTAAAGAAGAAATGAACACAGAAAGGTAATTCATATAATAAACATCCAGCCCAATTCAGTGAATAGATGCTGAAGAAAGGCGACAAAACGGTGATTCCGATAAAATATTACACATCTAGAGTGTCATTAAACCCCAAACTTTATTCTTGCAGTAATGGATAAAAACATGTTACCATTGCATTGACTTTTTAGCTTGCGTAGATTGCGTTTCCGCGCGAGATCGTTGAGAAAGTTGGACGACCTTCTCCATTCAGTCTTTTGCCTTGCTCCAACTCTGGCGCAATAACTCGATTGGATACGCTTGCTACGCAAGCTAAGCCAAAGATATACCATCTTAATGGGCCTAGCCCGTGATTTCGTCCGAAGACTCAAGAATTTGAATTACCTAACCTTTCCATAATTGATTCTAAGCGCGAAAAGGTTACCTTGACTGAAATTCATCTCGCCCAAAATTAATTTGAAGCTGTTGGTATACCATTATGACAACTTTTTAGCCTCAAATCGTTTCCTTGTTTTTATTCTTTGAGAAAGACAAGTACGCAAAATTAAGTGCCGTAACGGCTGCGCACCAAAGAATACTATGCGGGCAACCGACCCCCTCTCGGCCAACGTCAAGTAAACCGAACCCTGACTTTCAATCGGGTGACTTGACCGATTACCATTCAGGTGCGGGCAAAAGCGAAGGGCGCACGAGGGAAAGAAAAGGCACCCATTGAGTTCTGGCATGTCTAAGTTCTCCCTTGCTAGTTGAACGCCTGCCTCGCGCGCCCGCCACGAAGGCTAGTCACACTTAAAAGGTAGCACTAACTTAGCCTCCACTCTTCTTTAGTCTATCTTTTATTCTTCTCAGAACATGCTACATGTACACCACAAAGTAAAAGTGTCTCAGCCTACCTCAAGAAGCTCAGCAGCAGATGATCGCATTTCTGCAGATTTTACAACACAACGAGAAAGAAAATCATGAAAGTCATTAGACCTGTTGAATAAATGAACGCCATCCGTCAGACAACTTTTCGGCCAACACAACTTTAAACTAAAGAAGAGGGTCACTAACTTAATTCTACAATTTCAAGCTATTTAGGCCGTCTTCTTATCACAACTATCCCCTCCAGGGGCACCCAACGAGATTATAGTTCAAAACAACTTAAACATAGCATTGTTAAACGTATTTAAGTATTTAAACGGTAGATATAGGCATATTTTTATCCCCTAAAAATTTTTGATGTGTTCGGATTTCCTAGCTGAAATTCCAATGATCCGAAAATTATGGGGATCAAAACTTACCTTTTCGAAAATTTCAGCCAGAAAAAAGGGCTCCAGAAAATTCTAGATGATCTTTTTAGGGTAAAAAATCCGTTAAAAATGGGAAATTATACCATATTTTAGATGTTCGAAAATCCTAGGAGAGGCAGACAAGCAAGAAATTTTACAACAAATGTTCCGAAAATTCTAGATCACAAATCGTCTTCCGAACAGATATTTTCCGAAAATTGACGTTGGGTGCCCCTGCCCCTCTTTGTTTGCAAAGTGAAAACTGCGCTTGTGCTCATTGAGTATGTTTGACCTTTATTCCTGAACTGTATTTCTGTATTCTTCTTAACAGTTGCCTATAATATACATCTAGCTGGATTTTTGAAAACTTTACCGCCAAAAAGTCCTCTTCCGTCAAGCAGTTGTTTTCAAAGTAACCAGCATAGAAACTAAGAGTGCCATCATTGCCTTTTTCCTCTTCTTCTCCTCCATCCCTCCTCCTCACTCATTCTATCTTTCCTTTCCTTTTCCTCTGCTGGTGTTATTTTTGGGCTTTTCGGACGCAAAAGCCCTCGCCTTTTGGTCCTTTTTCACTCAAATGGCTGCAAACTTCGCCAGGCACGTTCTCAAAAATCCTTTTAAATGTTTCTAAACAATTCTGGCAATCTTTTATGGGAAACCAGAAAGAGCAAGGAGAACCAAAAAATAAGAAAAACCGAAGCAGTTGTTGCACTCTTAGTATTGATATTGGCTACTTTGGAGACAGTTTTTTCGGCAGTAACGTTTTCAAAAATCCAGCTAGATGATTGTGCAAAATGTGAAACACCAGTCAACATATAGCTAGGAGTTACTGGGACCTTCTTTATACCCAAACAGAATTGTAATCCAGCATGGTTCTATACCTATATGGGCGCTTGTAAATAACTAGAGTTTCATTTTGTTCTCTTTTAGGTTCTTTTACTTGTGGTTTAAGTTTCACTGGCGAAAAATGTCTGCTCATGCACCGCACAAAAACGCACAGGGTCGATTTCCACTAACCCATGAAAGGTAGATCTCCATCTCCTGCTGTTTTTCAAACAGAAGTTTGGGGCTTTTTAGGCTGTTTTTCGAACTGATTATAAGCAATGGTCCCTAGATCTCAACAGCTTTTACAGTGAAACCCTGCTGATGTGACCACTGTTGGGCCATAAAATCGTGCTCGTAATAACGAGATTGTCGTATTAATGGAATCTTCAAATTAATAATGTCCAGTGTTTCTTACGTTTGGGTCAATAGATTGTAGTCGTGATTAAGAGGTGGTCGTGTACACAGGGTAGTCTTAAGGCGGGGTTCCACCGTACAATCACGCTGTAAACGGCTACTCCCTTTAGCCTTAAAATTTTGATGACGCCTTTCGGACTGACAAATGCACCTACTACATTTCAGCGATCATTGGAGAGATACGTTGGACATACTTTGAAGCATTGCTGGTTCCTGCTCAGGTTAACCCTTATGATACTACAAGTGGTAAAGGATGGTGCATCCACACACGCAAATGGCAAATGTGTTGCAGTCCCCTTTGGATGAGGCTGGTCAACTGCACGTTCAAAAAGAAATTATCCCATTTTTACACATGGATGCAATGTGTCTTGGTTAAGTCCCTTTTAGTTAACATGCATCAAGATTCAACAACTTACCATCTGTTTTTAAACTGCAGCAGAGGAGGATCAGCTTTAGGTATTTTAAATAACACTCTCATGGGATGCATGTCATGGTATGGAGGCTGCATCTCTGCCAGCTCTATCAGTGTAATGCCNTGTTTTTCGAACTGATTATAAGCAATGGTCCCTAGATCTCAACAGCTTTTACAGTGAAACCCTGCTGATGTGACCACTGTTGGGCCATAAAATCGTGCTCGTAATAACGAGATTGTCGTATTAATGGAATCTTCAAATTAATAATGTCCAGTGTTTCTTACGTTTGGGTCAATAGATTGTAGTCGTGATTAAGAGGTGGTCGTGTACACAGGGTAGTCTTAAGGCGGGGTTCCACCGTACAATCACGCTGTAAACGGCTACTCCCTTTAGCCTTAAAATTTTGATGACGCCTTTCGGACTGACAAATGCACCTACTACATTTCAGCGATCATTGGAGAGATACGTTGGACATACTTTGAAGCATTGCTGGTTCCTGCTCAGGTTAACCCTTATGATACTACAAGTGGTAAAGGATGGTGCATCCACACACGCAAATGGCAAATGTGTTGCAGTCCCCTTTGGATGAGGCTGGTCAACTGCACGTTCAAAAAGAAATTATCCCATTTTTACACATGGATGCAATGTGTCTTGGTTAAGTCCCTTTTAGTTAACATGCATCAAGATTCAACAACTTACCATCTGTTTTTAAACTGCAGCAGAGGAGGATCAGCTTTAGGTATTTTAAATAACACTCTCATGGGATGCATGTCATGGTATGGAGGCTGCATCTCTGCCAGCTCTATCAGTGTAATGCCAGCAGACCAAATATCAGCCTGTCAAAAAAACATATCAACTGCATCAGTATATCTAAGATTTAAATTACAAAAGGGGACAACTCTCTATTTAATGTATAAATGTAAATGATGAAACCTTGTCCACTTCTAGTACAAGAAATAGAACCTGCTAGTGGCTTTGATTTAAACCCACAAGGGATACAACAGTGTGCAAAATATAACAGCTAAATATATTAAACTGTGACAAAATGCAGAACACACAACTAATAATTTATTACAACTTGAAAAATAAACAGAAAAATATACAGAGCAATGATGGCAAAGAAATAGAACAGCATATAAGTCAACAAACAAAACTTGTTAAAGGTAGTGAATTCATAACATAGATTTTAACAAATCAAACAGGACATTTCAGGAGGAGCCACCCACAATGTGAGCACAGTTACTGAAAAGGTATATGGGTAGGAAAACAACCCAAAGAAAAAGTAATGCATTAAATAACGAACTAAATGCAAATAAGTAAAGAGATGAGGCCGAGTAGCAAGCATTTTCTTACCATTAATATAACGTTGTTTTTGCAAAACCATACAGGGCATACAGAAATAAAGATAAATTAAGTCTTGACTTCCCCCCCCCCTTTTTTTTTCATTTGACCTCTCACATTTAAGTGAGTCGAAATATTTACAGTTACCTCAAACTCTGTATGGAATATTTATACATGACACAGCATATAACTTCATGATGAATATCTACTAACTTTGTAATCATATGGATCATCCTTGCATGTCTCCGTGACAATAACTTCTGGAGCCATCCTACAAAATAACATACAATCAATAAGTGTTACTTCAAAGAAATACCAGCCAATAAAACATTTGGCTTAACATATGGTTATTACATTGTAATTTCGGTTCTTAAGATATTGCATATTGCATATTGAATCTGGTAAACTACATCCCATGATTCACTCTATAAATAATAACGCCCAGCTAATCAAGAAAATTTGGATCAATTTAGGTTTCTGAAGAACTGCCCACCTACCCCTCCCCTGAGCCAACTAACTGTGAATGTAACATGAAGAGTGAATCCCGTTTTACAACCGAATCCGCTCCCCATCGGTCCATCTAAGGGTTTTTGGATTGAACTAGGTTTGTTTTTGTTTTGTTTTGATTGATTTCTTCTGTTTTCAGCAATCTGAGTCCTGAATGAAACATCTATTCTAACTCACCAGTAAGGTGTTCCAATGAAAGTTGTTCTTCTTTGTACAGTTTTCTTATTCTTGGCAGAAACCCCAAAGTCAGCTACAACATAACAACCAAAGGCACAAATGATTTCCGGGAAATTCTCCTTTATACCCTCTTACTTTAGTCTGTATAAGGTAGTATGGCATAATATTGGCCCTAAGGTTTTAGTTCATCATAAGGAAAGGAATGCAATAGAACATGAAGCAATGACGCAAACAAAATAACAAGCAGGGGCTAGAGCATTCCCTGAGAGGTTTGAAATGCTTAAGTACAAGATCCCCATCCCCTCTTTCCTTTACTAACCTCAAAGCTTTTAGACATAATTGTGTAACAATTTTGCACATCTCTTTAATGTTCTGATGAGGATCATAAAAGCCTGACAAAAATATGTGGGCATAACAATAGCACACAAAGATAGCTCATCATCTATTCATCACCACCATTACACCAACAGGTACATGTAGTATATAAATTGGTAGTGACGGGAATCTTTGAAATGACCACTCATTTACACTTTGACACAACCCTATAGAAATCCTAGAGGTAAAATCTAAAACACAATCCAATAAATGGAGTGTATATTACTTTTCCCTTTAGAGCAAATTACTTGCTTATTTAAAAGAGTCATTATGGCTATTATCAATAACATCCAGTAGGGTTAATCACTCAAGACTGTTATTAATCATCAACTCTATCTCACCTTTGGTATATAGAATAAAAACAAAAAGTATATTTATACTAGTAATAACCAAAGGTTAGGGAGTGCAGGCGACAACGATCGAAGGTCCAAACGCTTTTGCTGTAATGCTGTACTTGCATAAGGTTTATGTGATAGATGGTTAAAGACACGTGATCAAATTGCATTCTCACTAATGTGCATTCCTGGAGATTAGGATTGCGGGGGCTCCTCTTGTCGCCCACAACTAAAAATAACCTTATTTAAACAAAATTCATCAGATACTGTACCAAGTTTAATGTTCCCGTCATTTGTGAGCAGCAAATTCCCAGCTTTTAAATCTCTGTGGATAACTTTATGGGTGTGTAGAAAGTGAAGACACTACAAAAAGGGAAACAAAACCACACAAAGTTCACTAAGCAAATGGATGTGGCTAAAAAAAAGGAGAACTTAATGCAATAAAACATGGGTTGTTTTAGAGTTAGTTTCTGCAGTTTTGTTTTGATATAATCAAAATGGCTAACAGGGTGCAAAAAAAAACCATTGTTACAGCTTGCCATTCGGGCAAGCTGAAGCTATAGCATTTACTAGCCCAGACATCATTTCAACCAGCCTCAAAAACTTTTTGAGTAGCAGAACTGATTTCACTGTTCTTCTGTTATTCGCATTCCCCAAAAACACCACTTGCCTTTCGGACAAGTTAAAAACAGAATTCACTAGCCCGATAGCAAAATCCACTAGCCCCGGGCTATCGGACACTATTTTCTTTGCATGCTGGGCTAACCAACTTTATGGCAACCATTACAAGTGTCTCAAGGATTAATACCCAGAGAACCAGGAGGAAAGGGGCAAATATTGTTATTTAAAAAAATAATGGGTCTAAGTGACATTTTATCCAAATGTTTGACCCACTTTACCTTCACAAAGACCATAGACACGTCTAACAAAACCACAGCTTCCCATGTTAATACGGAGCCAGGGCTGGTTTTTCCTACTTACCTTGGCAACCAAACTGCCAACTGCTAAAGAGCAGCCATTTAAATAGAAATTACTTAAAGGGCCTAATTGTCAGAAGGATAATCTTCTTTAAGTTCAATTCTGCACTGAAGTCATTACCAACACCTTTACCCGTACACAAAAATTATGCTCCTGTAGAATTGGGAAGCATCAACCACAACATTGTTTTTGGTTATTTTTGCAGGTAAAGCATGTAAACTTGAAAATGTCGGCCCGGCTTTTTCAAGTTTCAGTCCATGTCCATCCTTGCCATCTGTTGCCACAGACAGCAGGAAACAGTTTCAGTGCCTTCATATAAAGTCATATACATAACAAAATTGAACCATTATTTTTGGAATTCAATTGATGCTAAATAAATTTCAGCTTTTTAAAAAGATAGGAAACAGTGTGACATAGCTCCATTAAGCTTTTCTTCCATGCACCCCTTTTAAACACAAGGTAAAATAATGACTGAAGAAGCAAATACAAATGTAACCATTTAATGTGAGAGCGTTTGGAATTTTAATATACCTTGCTATCAAAAAATGCATTATTCAACACAGCTGAGACATTACCTCAAACATTTGCTTACACACAATTCTTATTTGTTCTTCTGTGAGACCCCGCTCAAGTTCTACCAAAATATAAAAGACTAGTTAGCAGCATAATGGTTAAAGACCTGGATGTGCATATGGCACATACATGCACATACATGTGTTTTTATAATAATGTTCTATCCCTTTGTTTCAAACTCATTATCGTACATAAGATAGCTTAAAACTACAGAAAGATATAATCTAACACCAATGATAAAGCTGAACCACAACATAACCCTTCTACTAGCCTGTTCCAGGCTCCTAGATAGTGGGGAAGACGAGAAAGAAAAAGGCATGTGAAAAGTTGGTGGGGTGGGAAAAAGGAAAAAGGAGGGGAAACAGAGCCAGCAATCATTTCTTTCACAACCCTCTTCTGCCCACTTTTGGCACGTTTGAAATAATTAGATTTCAGCTGCCAAACTGTTGAAATAATCTTTCTTAAATTTTCTCGCAAAATTATTTCACATGGCGCTAATCCCTTACACAACCGTGAGCAACTTGAGTGTAAAAAGCGGGTCGGTAGGCAACACACCACTTTTACCCCATGCGAAAATGCTGCTTGTTCCAATGAATATTTTCTCTTACAGTTAGATTATGCTCTGAAGGGTCTACATTTTGACTGAGCAAACTATGTGATTTTTGCCACTTGTTTCATGTAGAGAGGTCGTGACAACTGAAGCTTAAACTGAAGCTTCTTTAAATATGGAGAACTACGTTGTGAGTCAGTCAAGATTGCTCTTAAGATTGATTCTCCAGCTTGTTCTTCTAAAGAGATCTAAAGATAATGCGAGTCTGGACTGCAGCGCATAGATAACTCCTTCTTGCAACTGTTCTGTTTTTACCCATTTTGTTATCAGGCAAGACCGAAGCCGGTCGGCAGGATTACAAAAACATCTTTTCCTTGCGCCAAGTTCACAAGCCAGGTCTTCTGTTCCTTCCTCAGCGCTCCTATGTGTGGGAAATCTCATATTTCACAAGCGTGGGAGCTGCACGCCATCTTTCTGAGTGACTGAAACGACCCGCTTTGAGAGTGTTGATATAATCTGTCAAATGGGTCGTTTAAAGAAATGATTACAGGCTTCGCTGCCCCTGCTCTCCCTAGTTTCCTCCCATTATATTTTTATGTTTGCCCTTTCTCAATTCAGTGGACCCGACTATCTCGGAGCCTGGAACAGGCTACCCTTAAACGACGTGTGATGGCAAACAACTTCTTAGAATGAAAATAATTTTGCCATTCAGGAAACCATTTCTTGCAAGAATGAAATCATTAGTAAAAGATCACTGATTGGAAAGAGAAAAACATTAGAAGAAGCAAAATGATTGGGAGACAAAAGAGAGGAAAGACCATCAAGCTCAGTCAGTGTTTTCAAGTGGCTTTGCTTACTAGCTTGCAGCAAGATATAATAGTTTTCCCACAAAGGAAAAAATGTTTTCTGATGGTTTTGGCCAATTGCAAAGTTTTGGATAGGTACTCTAAAATTAACTTTCTTATGGACACAAGAAATGGCTCTTACAGCTTTAAGCAACAAAGATAGAAAACAATGTGTCAACCGGTGCAGTGCAAGCATAAGCACAAGCATAAACATACACAAAAAATTAAAACTTTTTCATTTTCTTATGCTTGTCTCAGTGACATACCATTGTGAAAGAGGTTTATAGGCTAGCTCATACATACTAATGAGATGCATCAGAGATGCACGCACACTAAGATGAACACATATATACAAATACAAATTGCATATATGCATTTCGCACACAAATTTTTGGACTGTTGTTTCTGAGCTGCACCAAACAAACACGTGGGTATCCAACGATACAGTTAATTTTGTCCATTTATGAGATACATATAAACTGGCATAATACAGGCATAAGGACAAAACCATTCAAATCATTAAATAATATTTTATCTAGACATATGTTTTTTACATTTTATCCTATATATGATTTATTGTAACATGTGTTTAAGTCTTACCTAATATTAGGTCATCTAAGGCACCACCAGAACAAAATTCCAACATCATCTATGAAAACAGAACATCCATAAGCTCTCTTTTCCTCATAATTTATGTACATCAACATCTATAAACTATAGAAGTTACANTGTCCTTAAATTTAGGGATATTCCGGACTGTATATATGATTTATTGTAACATGTGTTTAAGTCCTACCTAATATTAGGTCATCTAAGGCACCACCAGAACAAAATTCCAACATCATCTATGAAAACAGAACATCCATAAGCTCTCTTTTCCTCATAATTTATGTACATCAACATCTATAAACTATAGAAGTTACACATCCTCTACCTCCCCCCCCCCCGCCCCCAACCCAACATAAAGCTCTGAAAAATTTTGTAACTTTGTGGAGAAAACATTATGTTCTAAAAAATGGCAGCTTTACTGATTTTGAGATACTCTTTCCAACAGTGGTGATGGACTTTCTGTTTCACTAACACCCAGTTCAAACCTCGATCTTTTCATGTAATGAGCTTACATGTAATACCTATTTGATTCAGACGTCGAACTTTCACGATGTTCAATGGTCTAAAACGCTTACAAGAGAAAATAAATTTTGTAATTTATGCATTGGGTTCGGCACATGAGAAGTTTGACGTTTGACATGAAGTTGCTCCATAGCCAAAATTTTCATGTGGGCCACTTGATCTTAACTCATGAGTCAACCCATCCTCGGAGACCCAGGGGCAGATAAAGGGGGCGAGGGAAAGTCTAAATGGGCGGAAAAATATATATGGAACGAAGAAAAGTAAAGAACGGCGAGAAGAACCCCTGGGGACAATGTCTTACCAGACCAGTTCCAAACGGTCACCGCCGTTCTGGCTTCTGATTGTTGCCAGAAAACTTGTGTTTTGACTGCACTACTTACCCACAGCTTATTTTCATGGTAGTACGCTTCATACATTCCCACCACATGGTTATGTTTGCACTCACTAAGAATGTCTATTTCTACCATAAAGTCATCCAGTTCACTCTCATCTTTAACATCAATAATTTTAGCAGCTGCCAGAGCACCATCGGTCTTGCGTTCTGCCTACAACACATGAGAAGTTAAACAAGTCATTGAGCTGTAAGTGAGCAAAAATTAGGGGAAATTTGTGGATGGCAAAATGTCTGTGTGTGACAAATGTCACAGGAATACTACTTGTGTGTTCCAATCAGAGTTTCAATAAATTTAAATTTTAACCAATCCACATACTTGCTTGCATCATTCACATGCGCACTCACTACTAGATTGAGACAATAATATTAAGCAAAATAAAACACAAACAAGTTCAGAATCATTTGGACTTGAAATAATTTAGTCTTACAGTATCTCATTCAAGGTTTCCCAATTCAGTATCATCTGCACAATACAGACATATATAATATAGGTGCAATACACTTGATGTTGCAAATCAAAAACAGTGTATATGTATGTCTCAGAACACTTCACAAATGCTGACATAACACAACTTTAACATAGCTGGAGAAGATCAACCAAAGATTAACCTCCTTCTTCTCAGTACATCTGATTTATTCTTATTCAGCGTGCAAAGAAAGCAGTGTCCGATAGCCCAGGGCTAGTGGATTTTGCTATCGGGCTAGTGAATTCTGTTTTTAACTTGCCCGACAGGCAAGTGATATTTTTTTAGGAATTCAAATAACAGAAGAACTGTAATCAATCTTGCTAATCAAATATTTTGGGGGCTAGTTGAAATGACTTTCAGGCTGGTACATGCTAGCTACAGCTTGCCCAAATGGCAAGCTGTAAAAATGACTTTCTATGCACCCTGCTTATTCTTATTCTTATTATTGATTCCAATATTTCTGTTTCTGATTTGGTTCAAATCCCATGGATAATTCTTTTTAGTAAAATTCAACTAGTGGACTATTATTAAAGCTGCATTCTGATTGGTCAAGCTACTACTAGGCTATATGTTATAGCCCACTAATAGCGAAAAAGTACTGGCTTTGAAAACCAAAACAGTGGTGGCTGAATCGCGTTTTGTTAGCTAAAGTTGTTTTGTCTCTATATTTTTGATAAACTCGTTGTATTTTATTAAAACAATTATTCCTCTCATCCTAATGGCCTCTGAGTCAATAGCCCATTCAGCCTTCGGCCTCATGGACTATTGACTCAGAGCCCATTCAGGCTCAAGGAATTATTGTCAAATAACCAGCCAGTGTTGAAGGTTTTTAGGGCTAGTTAAAATGAGGCTTGGTAGTACATGTATGCTACAGCTTGCCATTCAGGCAAGCTGTAAAACTGACTTTCTTTGCACCCTTTATTTGAAGAATATCTGCAGAAGTAAACATCCCTTTCTCTCCTGACCTTGCCGAGAAACAGGCAATTGAAGACAAGAAGTTAACATGGATCGAGGTGAGCGTGTTTTAGCTCATTTTTAAACTAGGAATAATTTTGAATGAATGATAAAACAATGAATATTATTGATTTGGCTTTCCTATGTTCAGAAGAATTATTATGGAGATCAAACATAACTGAGGGTGAACAGTCATCAACAAAGAGCAGGTGAAAAAAAGTGCAGTGAAGGTTTACTAAGAAACTGATACTTTTACTACCATTGAAAGATATATCTGGTACACAATTAGAACATCAATTGGACAGCTGTCAAATTCAAACATGCTATGCCCAAAATGAAGTAACCATCATAGAGAATATATTGAAACCTTCACTTGGTCATTGTTTGCATCTTCTTGCAATTCTATTTCTTTCCTGTTTCTATTATGTTATCTACTTAAAAATCACTTAAAAAAACTAACCAGCACATACAACTTAACCTATGAATATTAATGTAGTAATAAATCAGGGTTAAAACTCTTTGTCACAGTCCATTGACTTGCTAAAAAGCTTTAAATGTTTACAGAACAAATTATTGAGTTTGTTGTAAGCTTATGGAAAAACTGCAGTCGGGAATATTTTAAACCAAAACATGAGGAAGTAAAAACATGCTGGGAAGTATAATAAACAATCTTCACAGTTTTGTAAATCTAAGTCATTAAAACCCGTTTTCCTTGTGCATACAAATGAGCCTCAACATTGCTAAAAATAATGCTGCAAGTTTTTGCATATTATGTTGAAATATTATTTTGCATAAAACATGACATAAATAAACAAAATGTCTGCCTTTGCGGTGGTACAAATCTAAGGCTGTTACGAAATAAATGAGCTGATTCTTGAATTTATAGGAGCTACATTAAAATAAAATATTTTCTGCTTTAAATCAGTGACAGCTCTATTAATTGTACCAAACGTACAAAGAAGTATTTGAACGAGTTATAGCATGATCCATCGAGCTTTGAATTAACAACAGAAATATTTCACGAACTCGTAATTTCGCTGCATTGTGATATTCATTATTGCTTGAATGGGTGCTAAAATCTTCTCGAGTAGAATCAACCGTGAATTAGCCGGTGTCTAAAGCTCAATAAGCTACCAAATAGATAGTTAATATGTAGTTTAATCATACCTTGTACACCTTGCCAAAGCTTCCATCTCCCAATTCGCCCACAAGGTTCCATACGGTATTGGGATCTACTCCACGAATTATGTAGGAAAATTCCTTCTTTTTCTTGACTTTCATGAAAGGGAAGAGTTGTTTGAAGAAAGACGACATCTTGAATCCCGCGGATGTCTAACTTAAACACTTAAACGGCTTGCATTGACCTTTTCAAAACTTGAATTTCAGTTCCTAAAGGTAGGGCTTTCAAAAGCCGTTACTTGTAGAAGCCAGCATTTATTTTAGGCCAGCCTTCGTCTTCAAACAAGATCTTCAGTATACCTTCTTTCCTCCTCTGAACCGCCGGCCATTCCACTTAATGACGTCATATCCTGATGTGGCCCTTAGTCTCCTCTCGAAAAAGTCAACTGATGATCACGCATGAGTTTCAAGGTGTTAGTGGAATTTTAGTTTGTTGTCGTCGTCGCTGTTGTTGTCGTTGTTGTTTTTCTTCTTTGTCTTCTTTTGTCTCGCTGTCTTTACAGTTTTAAATCAATTATTGCTAAAACAAATTAATCAAACAAGGCAATTTACAGAAACTCTGGTACTAAATAATTATGCCTGTGCAATGTGAAATTCTTTTTAAAATTTACTATCATTGATATTTGATTCCATGTTCTGTTTCCGTTTCTGTTTCCGTTTCCGTTTCCATAATCCTGTTCCGGGTTCCGGTTCCATGTTTTAGAGCTTCCATAATTCCATGATCTGGCAAATATCATGAAATATCATCCTCTTAGTCAACAAAGAAAACCCGCAACAAACGTTTCCTGTTGTTGTTGTAGGAGAGAAACAAGAAGTACAAAGCACTGTCTCTCAGCTGCAGAGGAAGTATGAAATTAAGCAAAGTTAGTTAAACTTAATTCGTGTAGTTATGCTCTTCGTTTTTCTGCTGTTAATACTACTGTAACTTGGATTTGTTTCAGTTATAAACAGTGAATTACTTCGGACTTTGATATAATATTATTGTACAACAACTGTAAAATTATTTAAAATTATTTAAAAGACCAGTGGAACATGCAAAATAATAGTTATTATGAGAACATTATTATTCATGAATCAGTTAGAAAGTGATTTTACAATAATTATTTTTCAAACAAGTCATGTTTCAACCTCAGAAGTAGTGGCTTCACTTATGCACTCTGACCGACTCCAAGAGCTTGTGATTTACTAATTTATAAAAAAGAATCCACTTTTGTGTCTTGACTGTCCATCTAATGCTTGACAATTGCCCATTTTGACAATAACTACCAGGTCCCATTTTAATATTTGGGTTTCTTACTGATAAGATTCGTGAAAACTAAAAATCTGGAAATTAAATTTCAGTTAAGTTGACTGAGCCACCCTCGATTAGATGCTTCTGGTTACATGGAACTGCATTTGTTTCCGTGGCTGTTGTTGTTTTTTTTTCTTTTGTCTCGCTGTCTTTACAGTTTTAATATCAACTGCTGCTACAATGAATTAATCAAAGGCAATTTACAAAAACTCTGAAACAAAGTTTTGTGTTATTTGTTCACATGCAAAGCTGCCTTTGAAGTTATAGGACTGAACCTAAAAATATCAGTTATTTGGCAGAACATCAACATGATCAAATAGGACAGCCCAAATATAAAATATACTGAGCTGAAGGATCAACGCGTGATGGGTTTTCATGGGCTCCTGGGATTGCTTGGAATGGAGGAGATCAACGTAAGTTTCAAACAGTTATAAACAACAAACCAAAAACCTTGACGTAGCTGCGGTCTCCTTCAAGAATGCAAGTAAAAATTGACTTTTAAAAGTTTTTAAAAACCTCACAGTAACGCTTGCAACAGTCTCGAAACAGGCGAGAAGAAAAATTTAGTACTTTTGAAAAGTTCATTGAATTTTCCTGTTTTAAAAATAATAATAGATTAATCTTTGCCATATATGGCGTTTTTAAAAGGGCGTTTTAAAAATAATGTACTTATCATCGTCAACAAATTCTGTTCAATATACCTATATTCAATATTCTCGAGTGTTCTTAAAAATTCCCAAGTGCTTATATAACTCAACAATGCACGAGAAACAAGTGTTTTATTTCTTTTATAAAATTGAAACGCAAAAACAAATGCCCTTACTTGTTCTGAAACGATCAAATTACAAATCAAACGAGGTCATTTTACATTTTTTTAACTTTCTCCTTGTAGATAAAACACAATCCTTTTTTGTTTCTTTAACAAAACAAGAAGTTTCATTTTTTTAAACTCTTTTATGAACTGAATCAGACGAAAGAACTTAATATCTTCATCAACAACAAATGTAAACATCGATTTTCTCCTTACAAGAACAAACTCTCTTATTGGTTTAAATCTTGAATGAAAATGAAAACGCCGCCCATTTTGCGAACTACCTTTAAAATCATTACAAATCGGCAAAATGTCCGTAAAACTGTTTACTGAACAGTTTCGCAAGTAAGTTCAGAAAAAAACGAAATTGGCGACGACTTGCTGTATTCTTCGTCCTTTTTACTTGAACCTTCGGTGTAAAACTGCGAGAGACTTTCATTAAGTTGTTTGTTGTCCATTTCTTGTATCAGACTTGTAACTCAGGTAAGCGTGGCACGTTTTGAGCACTTCATTCTATGACAAAAGGTGTAGTTTTTAAATCATTTACGAAATGTTTTAATTTTCTTAAGACTGCTATTCCACATAAATGTAAGCGAAACTGCTTAATAAAACGTCAATTTACAATATTTAAACAGAGTAACGCAGTAACGAGAAAACGAGTAACGGGATAAAAATTCAAGAGATTAAAAAAATCAAAAAATAACTCCTAATGAAAGAAAAAACATAAAAGTGGTTGTAATATCCTAATAATGACCTTTACTAATCTCGAAAAATATGTGTATTCTAAAACGTGCTTTAAAAAACGACTTCAACCTCCCCCACCCCTCCCCCCAGCAAAGTCAAAGGTATTTTTACGCTGAAAAGTCACCTGACTATCGAGGAGCAATCGTCAGAGGAAGGTAAGCTACAGATTTTCTTTATTATTGCCAGAGTTATTTCATTTCTTATAATAATAATAATAATAAGAAGAAGAAGAAGAAGAAGAAGAAAGTTCTTTTCACAGATGGCCTATGTCACATAATGTGGTTTTCAATAGGGCATTGCATAAAAACCAAAAACTACAGTACTAAGAATGACAAAATATTAAAATAGATGAACTAAAAAATGTCACACTAAACGAACTTATTGAGATTTAAAATTCTTAAGTAATGAAATGTTAAAAGCATTATAAGGTAGACATCTCATGTCTTCTGGAAGGGAATTCCAGTCTGTCAATGCACTATTAAAGGATCCGAGTAGACCCCAGTTCGTGTTTGATTTATGTATCGGTCAAATCGAAGCTTCAACATGCCCCCCCCGGGCAACCCCCCGGGCATTTGACTTTTTTGAAAATTATTGTTCAAATTCCCCCCTACCCGGGCTAAAATGCCGTTCAAATGCCCCACACTAGGGTCCATTCAAGTGATCAAATGCCCCCACCCCGGGGACATTTCACAGGCACAAAAATGACAGAAGGACGGCGGAAACACCTTCAGTTGTCGAACAAAATATTTATAAATATAACAAAAACTGAGAAACACTGTTAGCGTATATACTACGAACAAAAGTCTCGTGCAAAGCGGCGGAAATCGCTGCTACAAGGTCACTGAATGCTCAGCTTTTCTTCGTCATGCAACATACAAAGCGTTCTATAAAAAAGATCCCACCTATTGAGATTACTACATCATGACCATTTCACTGACATGCATCATCGTTCACCTTATTAATTAACATACTTGCAGTAGGTCAAAGTAGTTCACTTGAGCTTTTTATCTTATTTTATTTTATGTTGTTGTATTGAATCGCCGATATAGGTATTGTATTTCATTGTAAACACAACAATAAAATACATTTATACATTCAAAGCCTGAATCCAATATTAAAAATTTTAAAATTTAAATACTTCAAATACGGCACAAAGCTTGTTTAAGCCCTTTCCTCGCAACCAATTGGCCACAAAGGCACAATCTTTTCCACCAAAATCCTCTAACACCGCGTCCCCCAAAGATTTTACATGAAATCGAGGGTGCAGTTCAAATTCCCCACCCCTAAAGTATGGGGATCAAATTCCCCACCCCCTGGAAGACTCTGATAATCAAATTCCCTCCTCCCCGGGAAGGCAAAGGTGTCAAATGCCCGGGGTATGCCCGGGGGGGGCATGTTGAAGCTTCGATTTGACCGATACATTAATAGATCTAATAGTTTCCTTGGAGCGGATTTTTTGGAATACACATATTTTTCGAGATTGGTAAAGGTCATTATTAGGATATTACAACCATTTTTTATGTTTTTTCTTTCATTAGGAGTTATTTTTTAAATTTTTTTGAATTTTTATCCCGTTACTCGTTTTCTCGTTACTCCATTACTCGTTACTCGTTACTGCGTTACTCTGTTTAGTAACATCCTGCACTAGGGTGTGCATTACCTTAATTTGTCGCAAATCGTATAGTACACGGCGTTTATTTGTGCTATAAAAAAACTGGGTTTTTTCAAGCTGCTCTATATTTTTTTTCTTACCTAAACGAACGCCCTCTATTTCAGTTCGCAGTGATTTCTCTCGTTCGTAATGAAGTGATTTGTTTTTCTACGTTCTTTCATACCTTTAAAAACTTTTACAGCCCAGGTTGTTGAACTTTTTGTGGTTTTCGCCTCTGCATGCGTCTGCCAACTTGTTCACTCAGGCACGTACAAACCTCGCTTGTTATTTTTAGTTGAAATTTTATCCAACTGTCAATCACTCTTTTCGTCTTTTTCAACATTTAGGAACTGAAAGCCAAGGTCAAAGCACGGAAGATCTTCAGCCTTAATGGCGCACAGGCAAAATATAAACTTCTGTGTTTGGCAGAGAGTGTAAAGTAGCTCGCGTGCATATGTTGTACTATAATGCACGCTTGACGAGTGCTGCGAGCTTTATAGAGATACAATGAACTGGTCTCGACCAATCAGAATCCAATTTTAATCTTGGCTATTTTATAATAGTTTTGGAAAGGTTATCTGAGAATCCTGGTAGTTTGTTATGTTAATATGAATACAAAAAGTAAAACATTTTCGAGG